TTACGAATATGTTGCATTACCACTGAACATTCAAATAGAAATATATGAGTTTCGAACTCTCCCCCGAACACGGATAAACTAACAACAAACGGACATCCGACTTCCTTGCCGCCCTCACCTTCTGGTTCTCATCTGCCTGCGGGCGTTCCTGACACGTTCATCCTGCAGAGGAAGCGGTCTCCTCGTGGGGCGACGCCGACGTGGAGCCCCTGACGAGCTCCGCCTGCACGGCCGCGTGGTCCTGCTTGTCGATGATGTCGTACATGCTGTCGCCGTGGATGAGCAGGTCCTCCTGGAGGAGAGAGAGGCGAGGATGAGCCGCAGGAGGCGCGGGAGGAGAGCTGGGAAACCACATTGTTTCTCAGGAAAGACGAAGGCGACGCTTTTTAGGAGGACGCTGTAAGGGGAAAGGCATGTGGCGTATGTGCTCGGGGGGCGGAATCGTCCTTTGTTTGGAAGGTGGGAAGAGAGGGAGACGGAGAGAGAGAGAGAGAGAGAGAGAGAGAGAGAGAGAGAGAGAGAGAGAGAGAGGAGAGAGAGAGAGAGAGAGAGAGAGAGAGAGAGAGAGAGAGAGAGAGAGAGAGAGAGAGAGAGAGGAGAGAGAGAGAGAGAGAGAGAAGAGAGAGAGAGAGAGAGAGAGAGAGAGAGAGAGAGAGAGAGAGAGAGAGAGAGAGAGAGAGAGAGAGAGAGAGAGAGAGAGAGAGAGAGAGAGAGAGAGAGAGAGAGAGAGAGAGAGAGAGAGAGAGAGAGAGAGAAGAGAGAGAGAGAGAGAGAGAGAGAGAGAGAGAGAGAGAGAGAGAGAGAGAGAGAGAGAGAGAGAGAGAAGGAGAGAGAGAGAGAGAGAAGAAAGAGAAAGAGAGAGAGACCGTATGATACAGAGAGAAAGCGAAGTGCTATGTACACGGACAGGTACATGAAAATAGAAATTACCAGCATACATTCAGACATTCATGCAAATACAGATGGCAGCGAAAGGCGATGTAGAATGACCCTTGTGCGGCAGTAAATAAGATTGGACTGATAACTCATTTCCACAAAGCGAGAGTCACGAGGAGAGAAAAACGAGAAGGAATATGCAAAAAAAGAAATAACGAAAAGAATAAAAAAAAATATAAAAAGGAGATACAAACAATAAGAAGACAAAAAAAAAAAAAAAAAAAAAAAAGAGATACAAAACAAGCAGATAAGAATAAAAACAAAGAAATAAAAAAAAAGACAAACAAATTTGAGGAAAAAATGGCCGGGGCGAACCGAGCCCGGCGACGCGACGGGACGGCGAGCGCTGATCTCCAGAGGAAAAGGAAAGCCGAGCGCCCGACGGGGACTCGGCCCGACAGGCGAGGGGGCTCTGGCAACGCTTTTCTCACGAGGAGCCAAGAGGGAGGCCATCTCTCTCATTTTCTTCCTTGCATTTGCACAATGGCATTAGGCACACCTGGCTGGCGGGGGCGGGGGAGGGGGGCGGGATGGGGGGCGAGGGGGAGATGAGCTTCATTTGTTTTACACGATGGTCGGTGCGCAAGAGCTCATTCATTTTTTTTTTCTCTTTCTCTTTCTTTTATTTTTTTTTCTGTGTCTGTCTCTGTCTGTTTGTCTGTCTCTTTCTTCCCCTCCTCTCTCTCTCACTCTCTCCTCTTCCTTTTTCTCTCTCTCTCACTCTCTCTCCTCTTCCTTCTTCTTCTCTCTCTCTCTTATTATCTCATTCTCTCTCCCTCCCCTCTCTTTCTCTATATATCCATCTCCTTTCTTCTCTGTCTGTCTGTCTGTCTGTCTGTCTGTCTCTCTCTCTCTCTCTCTCTCTCTCTCTCTCTCTCTCTCTCTCTCTCTCTCTCTCTCTCTCTCTCTATCTATATATATATATATATATATATATATTATTATATATAAATATTTTTTTTTCTTCCACCCTGCCCTCTCTCCATCTCTCTCTATCTTTCTCATTCTCTGTCTCCCTATCTTTCTCTCTCCATCTCTCATTTCCCCTCTCCCTCCTTCCCTTCTCTTTTCTCTTTCCTCCTTTCTTGGCCTTAATCTGATGTTAATTTCTAGGTTGAATCGTCTGTGTCTGAAGGAGTCGCTTTGCTTTTTGCATATGTATAAGTACTCTTTATAGGCTGTACAATGTTCCTTCCCATCGTGTGTGTGTGTCGCTTGCAGTTCGGTATCTGAATGGATCGTCAGTAAGGCAGATACAAATGATAAGAAATTAAGCAAAATATATATATAGAAGGGAAGAAGATTAAGAAGAAGAAGGACGAGGAAGAGGAAAGAAAAGAAGAGGAAGAAGGAAAAGAAGAAGACGAGGAAGAAGAAAAAGAAGAAGACGAGGAAGAAGGAAAAGAAGAAGACGAGGAAGAAGGAAAAGAAGAAGACGAGGAAGAAGGAAAAGAAGACGAGGAAGAAGAAAAGAGAAGACGAGGAAGAAGGAAAAGAAGAAGACGAGGGAAGAAGGAAAAGAAGAAGACGAGGAAGAAGGAAAAGAAGAAGAGAGGAAGAAAAGAAGAAGAAGAAGAAGAAGAAAGGGAAGAAGGAGAGAAGGAAAGGAGAAAGGAGGCCGACAGACACACGAGACCATAATCAGAAGAGAAAGACAATGACGTTTGTTCTTTCCTCCCTTCCTCCCCCCCCCCCCCCCTTCGTCCATTCCTATAGTGCCCATAGAAGGCCACGTCAGCCGTTGCGTCCTCAGTCCTCCGAGATGAAGCCGGGACCTAATCCCCGATTGGGAGCCGTCTAATCTCTTTCTCTGTCTCTGTCTCTCTTTATTCTCGTCCTTCCTTTCTCTCTCTATCTCTCTCTCTCTCTCACTTTCCACTCGTTCTCCCTTCCTCACCCTCTCTCTCACTGTCTCTCCCCCCCTCTCTCTCCCTCTCCCTCTCTGCTCCCCCTGATCTGCTGGCGGCGGCGGCTCATCCGAGGGACATTGTTATTCAAATGCGCGACAGCGATATCCTTCCCGGTGGCACAGATGAGACGGAGAAAAGGAGAAAAAAAGAGAGAAAAAAGGGACTGCTGGCACGGAGGTCGTCCAGTCTGCCACCGCTTTGTTTGGCGGCCGAGCGCGCACGCGCACGCGGACGCCGCCGCCGCCGCCGCCACCCCGCCCTGGTCAAGAACGAGCGGCGGCGGCGCGGGAGGCGGTCGCCCTCCGGCAGACGGAGACGGAGAGGCTCGCGGGGAACACTCGCGTATGCAAACAAATTCATCTATTTGTATATATATATATATATATATATATATATATATATATATATATATATATATATATATATATATATATATATATATATATATATATATATATATATATATATATATATATATATATATATATATATATATATTATATTATACATATATATATATATATATATATATATATATAATATATATAACATATATCTATTAATATATATATATATATATATATATATATATATATATATATATATATATATATATATTATATATATATATATATATATATATATATATATATATATATATATAATATATATATATATATATATATAATCATTATATCATGACCATATATGCAAAGCGAGTGAAGGTAAACTCGCTCTCCTTCAGCAGTGTGTTGATTCTTTCCCGGACGGAGTTGACGTGCAATTTGCAACTCATTTAGGCCGGCTTTTGAGGACGACAAAGTTGGCGAAGGAGGCGACTTCTTTTTGCACTTTTTTTTTTTTTTTTTTTTTTTTTTGCTACTATTGCTGTTGCAAGTAATGAGGATGGTTGGGATGACTGAGAGCAACACAAATACCATCATGATCATCATTATTATAATCATTATCGTTTCTAACATTAACATCACCTTGTGAATATCTGTTCAAGTACAGACACTATAATATACTATATATATATATATATATATTATATATATATATATATATATATATATATATATATATATATATATATTATATATATATATATATATATATATATATATATATATATATTTATATATATATACATATATAAGCCTTTATATGTTGTCTATTTTGTGATAATAATAGAGACGTTAGAATAAGCGGTACAAATACGATGAGGCTTTAAGTCTATTTTCATAAGGTTCACTCAAGGCAGGTCTTCAGCGGGGAAATCGTAAACATAACTTGCATATAAATAACTTCGAACAATACTATGAAATTCCTCCATTATCCACGTATTTCATCATCTTTGTCTGAAATTATCGATACTATCTATTCCCTTCATTGGAATGTGTATTCATCTAACCCTTTCATCACTTGCCTAGGAGACTGAACAGAGAATAAAAAAAAGTTATTTACATTTTTTTTTTTTATCCGAACATGATCTTAAATCAGGGTGATGTTGTTTACTTCCGGGGTCCAAGATCAGGGTTGTGGAGAAGCGATCCAGGAATTCTACCGGTGGCGATTCCATAAAGCTGGTGTGTTTAGTTTGCAACGTGCAATGTCATGCAAGAATAAGATGAATGCAGTCAGCAGGTGTATATTTTCTTCACTGATTTCCAGGTATTTTGATATAATTTGGTCTATTCGCGAGAGAATTTAACGCGAATTTGTTGTTCAATTGTACAGCCAATGAAGCTATATTGCAAGGCCAATTAACTTCGTGTAATAATTTTACGGCAATTTTCGGGTCGGAAAATATATATAAATTTTCGGAAAACTTGTTCAACCTTGCGCTAAAGTTACTCGCTCTTTTAGTTAAACTTGCCTAGTCTTTTTTGCATACGCTTACAAACTCGCTTCGCTTTTTGCTTAATTAGCCTTGTAAACCTGCTTTTGCCGTGTATATATTAGCGAAAGTGGAATTGCACAAGAACAGCTTGTAGCAGTCGGGAAATGTGATGTATCATAAGGTAAATCTCATGCTGTTAAGTTTCAAATAATGAAAGAATTAATATTAGGGACAATAAAAAAGAATACAAAAAGCTTTGGAGGATTAGATTTTTTTTTTATGAAATTGGTAGAAATTTGTTGCTCATTCTACCATATCCTAGAGTGACTCAAATTACTAATTTACTCAATTTTACTCTTCCTTGCTCACCACTGAGTAACCGAAAGTTTACTTCCTCACATCTCAGCAGCGTGATCATAATGATAATAATAATGATAAGAATAAAAGATGAAGATAACAAAAATTATAGCAATAATAATAGTTATAATGGTAAAATAATGATGATAAGAAAGCGATGATAATGATAAGAAAGTGATGATAATGATAATCATATGCTCTAACTCAATTTCAGTCACTCCAAGGTACTCACATTCGCCCTTACTCACCATAAATTGACCAAAGGATATCTACGCCCAGTCATAATCAATCTAGCACTCCATGAATCATCCATTTTTACTCCTTCTTACTCACTCTTACACCATAAATTGACCAAAGGATATCTACGCCCAGTCATAATCAATCTAGCACTCCATGAATCATCCATTTTTACTCCTTCTTACTCACTCTTACTCACCATGGAGTGTCCGAGGTACTCAGCGGCGTTGTCGGAGATGTAGAGCAGCTTCCCTCCCTGAGTCAGCATCATGATGAAACCATTCATGGCCTGAGGAAGAGGAAAGGGAGAAAAGAAAATTAATATCTGAAATTCGTATTTTCTGTTCCTACTTTTGTTTAGAATTCGGATTTTGACATCTTCCTCAGTTTCGTCTGAGCGACTCTAGGAAATTCACAATACTGTAAATAAAGACACGAATTCATATGTGAGTTATAATAATACTGTAAATAAAGACACGAATACGTATTGTATGTGAGTTATAATCCGTGTGAAAGTGTGGGCCCGAGAGGATAAGAATTCGAGCACAAGTTTAGGGCAACTCTGGTCTCGTCTGTTTTTCCAACACACAGGCAAGTACGAGTACACTTAGACATGTCTTTGTATTATTTGTCAGTACACGAGTGTCAAATGTTGTTCTAAACATATGTATGTATGTGTATGTGTTTAGCATGTACACATGAATAAATGTATGTAAGTAGTGGTTACATGTATTTACATATGCATATATACAAATATAAGCGGTTATGAGTGTGTGTTTGTTTGTTTATTTGTTTGTGTGTGTACGTACCTATATATCTGTGTATGTATGTACATACGTGTGTGCGCATAGGCATCTCTAAATCAAAACACATCCATCTGTATACAAATATCCTTCCTGTATCCCCACACCCAGAGAATTCTCAGGAAAAAGAAAAAGAAAAACAACAACAACAACAACAACAGCTACATTCGCTCACAGCATCTCCCGCCACCTCATCTCACTCACAAATAATTGAAAAAGAATTCGATCCGAAAGAGCCGATCACACCGACAGAATTTTCTCGAAATCGAAATGATGTAATGGCTCGTCTTATCACGTGACTCCCACACGCTGCCATGCCTGTCATTAAGCTAATTAATCAGACTGATTAATGGGATGCTTGTACGAAACCAATTACCCGTTTCTCTCTTCATAATCGCTTTTCTTTAGTTACCAATAATACGATTTTTTTATGGCGTGGTAATTATTGGGTATAAAAATATTCATTTTACAGAAGAATGCCGCATGTATTTTTTTTTCTCTCCCTCTCTACCACCTGTTTATTTCCCTTATTCATTCTTATCACTTCGTCTCGTTCCTCAGCCATTCTCCTTTGCTTCTCTCTCCTCCTCCTCCTCCTATTCTATATCCAGTACTCCTCTCCCTCCCTCCCCCTCCCTCCTCCCCTCCTCGTCCTCTTCACAACGCAGTCTCCGCTATTTAATGATTATTTTATTGCCTTCTTCGACCCCAAGATGCTCTTCGCCCTCCCCCCCCCCCCTCCAACTCCTCCCAACTCGTCTTCCCCACCTGCACCCCCCCCTCCTCCCCCTCCTTTCCCTCCCTCCACAATCTCTGCCCTTCTCTCCGTCCTCCTCTGGCTCTCTTCTCTTTCTCTTAGCCTTTTCTTTCTGATTTATCTTTCTTTGGGATTTTTTTTTCTCCTTTCCTTTCCTTCCTTTTTTTTTGGTCCACTTCCTCCTTCTTTCCTCTTCCTATTCCTTTCCTTTCTTTCTCCTCCTCTCTCCCATTCTTAGTCTTCCTATTCTTCCTCCCCTTCATCTTTTTTCACTCGCACCTCCTTTTCCTCCATTTATTCCCCCTCCTCCTTCTACCTCTTCCTCCTCCTCCTCCTACTCCCCTCCCTCCACCACCACTACCACCTCCCTCCTCTTTTCTCCCCCTCCTCCCCCTCCTCTTCCCCTTTCTCCCTCCCACGCCAGTGCCTCACATTCCCACCAATTCATTACTCGCATTCCTCCCTCCCTCCTCCCTTCCTCCTCCGTTCTCCGTTTGTTTATTTGTGGACGACGAAGGAAGAGAGGAAAAAAAAAAAAAAAAAAAAAAAAAAAAAAAAAAAAACAGGTTACGGCAGTCCTCGGCGCGTCTCTCAAGCGCTGGATATAATTAAGTTCCAATAAAAAAGCAGCGACTCGAGTCAACCACACGTAAGTAGGTGGCATTTCCACGAGGATTCTGGGAGGTATGTCGGCGTCTGCCTTTTCTCTCTCTTTCTGTTTACTCGAATGTTTTTTTTTTCGTTTTTTGTTTTGTTTTGTGTTTTTTGTTTCTTTCTTTTCTGGTTGTTTATTCTGTTTCTGTCGGATTGTTTGTCTCTGGTAATTTGGTAATTTGTCTCTCTCTCTTTTTCTCTTTCCCTTTCTCTCTCTCTTTTTTTTTCTCTCTCTCCTTCATTCTTCTTCTCTCTCATCTCCCTTTCCCACTCCCCTCACCCTCTACCCCTCTTTGTCTCTCTCTCTCTCTCTCTTACAATTGCGTCGTTATTTTTGCATATACATATCTTTGTATCTCCTCTCCCCTCTCTCTTTTTTCTTTTTCTCTATTTTTCTTCACTTTTGTGTCTTTCTCTCTCTCTCACTCTTCTCTCTCTCTCTTTTTTTCTCTCTCTTCTCTCTCTTCCAGTCTTTTTCTCTCTCTCTCTCTTTTCTTCTTTTTCTTCTCTCTCTCTCTCTTCAGTCTTTTTCTTCTCTCTCTCTTCTCTCTTTTTTTTCTCTCTCTCTCTCTCTTCCAGTCTTTTTCTTCTCTCTCTCTCTCTCTTCTCTTTTCTTCTCTCTCTCTCTCTCTCTTTTCCAGTCTTTTTCTTCTCTCTTCTTCTTCCAGTTTTTTTCTTCTCTTTTTTTTCTCCCTCCGTCCCCTCTTACTCGTCGTCGAAGGCAAACGGCTGTGGAAGGAGGGCGAGTTTTTCCTCGCATGGTGGGGGGGTGAGGGGGGAGGGGGGGGGGAGGCAGAGTCTTCTCCGGCCTCCTCCTCCTTCTCTTCCTCCTAAGCTTCTTCTTTCCCCTCTTCCTCTTCCTTGTCCTCGCCAAAGTCTTCTTCTTCTTCATCTTCTTTTTATTTTTTTTTTTTTTTTTTTTTTTTTCTTTTTCTCGCTTTCCCTTTTTTTTTCTTCTTTTTCTCTTTCCTTTTCGTTTTCTTCTTTCTCTCTTCCCATTTTATCTCTTATTCCGTAATCACTTCCCTCTCTTCCTCCTCCTCCTCTTCCCTCTGTTTCTCCTCCTCCTCTTCCCTCTCTTCCTCCTCCTCCCCTTCCTTCTTCTTCTCCTCCTCCTCCGCCTTCCTCTCTTCCTCCTCTTTTGCTTCCCTTAAAATGAAAATCACTTTCCTTTTCTCTCTCTATCTCTCCTTCTCTCGCGTGATGTGCCAGAGGAAAGGGAAAGTGAGCAGGTCCGAGAATGAGAGAAGAGAGAGAGAAGAAAAAGAAAAAATGTAAAAAATATAGGAAGAAAAAAGTAAAAAAAAAAAACAGGTCCGAGAATGAGAGAAAAGAGAGAAGAAGAAAAAGAAAAAATGTAAAAAATATAGGAAGAAAAAAAAAAGAGAATAAACATAATAAAAAAGGATATCAAATTGAGAATGGAAATACAATAAAGATAAGATACGGAGAAGAAATGAATGAGAGAAGCATTAGAGAGATGAATAATTACTATAATGATAAAACAATAACAGGAAGGATAAGAGAAACAAAGACTGCATAAACCGAGGAATAGGAGCCAAAAAAACAAAACAAAAAAACATAACGATGACATAAACTGGTAAATAAATAGAAATCTAGAAGAGCAACAGAAGAAATTAATGAATGAGAGAAGAGGCAAACCAGGATAAAGATGAGGTAATGCGAGAAGTGGAGAAGGACGGAGAGGCAGAGATAACGGCTTGGGGAGGATCTCGGGTGGGAGGGGGGGGGGGTCACGTACACGCACACGCACACAAACACACACACACACACACACACACACACACACACACACACACACACACACACACACACACACACACCACACACACACACACACACACACACACACTTTTATCATCTTTCTAACTGTCTATCTATATAAATTTATCTACTCTTATCCTGAACAATAACAAAGTACTTAAAGATTCAGTCAATTTTATATTCTTAAATCCATAGATCAATTCCAAGCGCAGCCATTGGTCGTGCACAAAAATAGTACAAAAATAATAATCAAAACAAATAACATTGGCCAATTAGATTTGCATTTCACCAAAATTGTATTTTTCTGCACCGCCGAAATCGTCCTTGAGTTGGCGCTGCAACCAGAAAGACGAGGAAGAACAAACCAAAAAAAAAGTCAAAAAAGTAAAAAAAAAAAAAAAAAAAAAAAAAAAAAAAAAAGTACAAAAAAAGTAAAAAAAAAAAAAAAAAAGAAAGAAAAGAAGAAGAAAAAAAAAAAAATAAAGAAGAAGAAAAAAAGTCTTGTATGTAATAAGCTTCCAATATATCATGATGACCTACGAAGCCAGATATCTGTTGTCTTTGCTTTCAAGGTTTCGCGGATGAGGAAGAGAGGGAAGGGAGAAGGAAGGGAAGGAGGAAGGAAGGGGAGAGGAAGGAGGGAAGGGAGAAGGGGAGGAAGGAGGGGAAAGGAGAAGGGGGAATGAAGGGAGAGGAAGGAAGGGGAGAGGAGAAAAGGAAAGGAAGGGGAGAGGAGAAAGGGAAAGGGAGGGGAGAGGAAGAAAGGGAGAAGGGAAAAGGGAGAGGAAGGAAGGACAGAGGAGAGGGAGGAAAGGAAGGAGAGAGGGAAAGGGGAAGATAGGGAGAAGAAGGATGAAAGGGACGAACGGAAGAAGGAAGGGAAGGTGAGAAATGTGGGAGGAACAAAGAAGGAAGTGCTGGAAGAAGGGAAGAAGGGAATGAGGAAGGGAAGAAGAGAGGAGAGACGAGAGGGAAAGACGACATGGAAGGGAAGAAGAGAGGGAAGTGGAGGAAAAGAGACGATAGATATGAATAAAAGATAATGTGAAAGAAGAATGGAAAAACGCTGGAAAAAGGAGGAACAGGAGAGAAAGATCAAACAGAGAAACAGAGAATCAGAGAGAAAAAGGGGAAGGAGGAAGAAAGACGCAAAGTAGGAAGCAGAAGGAGGAGGGGGGGGGGGGGAGGGGGTCAGGAAGCAGAAGGAGAAGGCGACGCGGCTTCAATGACTCATGAAACATCTGAACATCAATAAGCGTCGGTGTTTTTTTTTTTTTCTTCTTCTTTTTT